ATCTTGGGCACTTATATGACCTTATTGTGTTGCAAGTGCCGTAAAATTCTTTACTAAACTAAACTAAAAGTTGAAGTCACTGAAGCCGTGTCGGGGGGCTATCGTGGCCTAGAGGTTAAGGTGTTGGCCTCTCATTCAAAGGTTCCGGGTTCGAATCCGGGTAGCGACCGAAAAATTTTCTTCTCTAAAATTGTCTCCTTTCACCTCCTTTCCTGCTCTCTAGCAATGTTCTGTTGTCTTCTTTCATTTCCACTTTCTGCCCCCCACCCCCTCACCTCCTTTGCCCCCTCCTCTGGGCTCCTGACTCTTTATGCAGACTTTCTACTGCTACTCCTTGGCTCCTCCTTGGCTCCTCCTTACTGCTGTCTTTCTGCCACACCCCTGATGTTCTGGTAGGAAAGATCTACACCTAGCCTTCTCGGACAAGGGCGAAAAATCTCGGAGGGCCCGTGTGCAAGTTGCGCACGTTAAAGATCCCTTGGTGGTCTAAAATCGATAAGAGTAGGCTTCGGCCGCCACCCGGGCAAAATTCAAAATTTCCTACCAACTGAAAATATTAGGAGTGTCCCGCGCGCTCATATGACCTATGCAGTTGCGAGCGCCGTAAAACACTTTACGAAAACGAAGCCGTGTCGTTTTCCTTCTTTTTTTTCGCCTCGGGTAGCTGCGCTCTTGCCCTTTGTACCACAGTCAAAGTGACAAAAACCCTAAGCAAAACAACAACAACAGACAAACAACAACGACAGACAAACAACAACGACAACCGCAACGAGCCCCATCAAGTTATCTTGCAAGCGGTTGGAGTGCGGCTTTGGTAGGTCCTTCTTCGTTTGGTTCCTTCTGCTGTGTCTGTTTGTCTGGTTATTTTGTTAAAATCCATGGTCTAAATGCCTGTTGTATTTTTTTTCAAATTCAGTTATCGTGACTTATCCTATTTCACGAACGTCTGTATTCTGTTGCATGTGTACTCTAAATGAATTATATCATCAGATGTTTGTTTTTGTGACAGAAAGTATCATATTTGTGCCAGTCTCGTTGAGAGTGGCTGGTTTGGTTGTTGTCGTTTTGGAGTAAAGAAAAATGCAAGAATAGCTCTTTATGGCTTTTTATCAAAAGTTGTATCACTTCACCGTAAAGACCAATTTTTATTTTATTGCTTTATTTATTTATCTTTTGTTGTAGAAAATGGGAAACTCGCCTTTTAAAAACAACTAGCTGGGCCCCCTTTCGATGAAAGGAATGATTAATATCAACTGAAAGTCATTGGCCTACTATATTTACACTCTACTGGAATGGAGCAATAAATCTAGAGAGATGCAAAAAATTAGAAGGTCTAAATCTAGATCTAGATCTATACTCTCAAAACAAAATGCGCCCCTCAAAATATCACTTCCGCACCGGATTTTCTAAAATTGCAGAGACAGAAGCGTCGGCCTACAAAAGCGATCGGCGAAATAAAGAAATATAGCTTTTTGCAGCAAAACTGTCTCAAAACTGAAAAAAACAAAAACGAAGGGCGTCATGATCTGGAGAATATTTTAAAGAATCTTTTGGCGAAAACCGCATGTCGGTCGATGTAGCCATTTAAAAGCCTTTTGAATAGCAAAATTCGGCCACCACAAATAGATCATAGATAAAGCGTCAATTTGTTACTGGTTTTAGTAGGACTGTTGTGTCACTTCACTGAGTAGATCGATTTTTCTGGGATAAAATTAGAATCACGATTTTCTTGAAATAAGCAGCCCATTTGCCACCGAATTTTAGCAGGATTGAAAGCCATTTTTATGGAGTGAAATGGGAAATGCAAGTGTCCTGAAACATATGGAGCCCATTTGGTACAGGTTTCAGCTGGAATCATCACGGAGTTTTTAAACGGAAAAGGATACCCAAGGATCATCAGTATCATTATCCATTGTCAGATCTGCGACAGACATCGTCGATCTCGGTTCTCCATTCATTCCTTTGCTCGTATGCTCTAAAAAAAGACTACGTTTCCCCGATCTTTGCCTGTTACCCATTTGTTTAGGTTCCCCAAGTAGGTTGATCTGGGCCTGCCACTGTCTCGCTTGCCTTCAATTTTGTCAGTGAGAGCTAAATGTTCAAGACCCTTATATCTATTCAGGGGTCCCAAAAATTGCATTTGATTTCTTTTCCATTCACAACACTCTTAACAGTCTCCTAAGAAACTCCATTTCTGTTGCTTCTATTTTATTGTCACTGTCTTTAGTGATTGTCCAGCATTCACAGCCATATAGAAGGGTTGACATGGCATAGCATTTCAGAACTTTCGTTTTGGTGGTCATTGAGATGTTTCTATTTTTCAGGATTGGGCTCATTTTATTGAAACTGGCCCTAGCCATTGTAATTCTCTGATTTATTCCTGTGGAGCATATGACATCAGATGTTATGATATATCCTAGATATTTAAACTGTTGGACTTGTTTGTTTGATCTTTTCACCTTTGCTAATGTGATTTACCCAAGGATAATGAAACTGTCCCCGTGGTTTTATGCCCTCGCTTAATTTAGCAAAATAAGATAATTTTTTAGAGTAATTTCTGATTATTTTCCTCTATCATTCTTTGTTAAAATTAACAGAATCGCGTAATTTCACATTTTTGGGCTCCGTTTGCTTATTTTCAGAATTTTTCTAGCATAAAACGACGGGGACAGATGAAATTAAATGTGTCTATTGTCACAATTTGCGGACTCTCGTCTGATGGTGCTGTCGCTGACGTATGTTGCTTTGGGAAAGGCAACTCTGACGTCTGCCTGTTTTTCCGAGCGTGTGTCAGAATGTGATCTGATCTGTGCCGTAGTGGTGTGAAGCTTCGACGTTATCATCTCCACGCCGTCATCCTTCATCTTCCCATAGACCTACAGTTATACTGTAAGTGAAGAGTGCCATTTCGAAAACGCCCTGTGCCCTAAATCTGAGCATTTGCTGGAGAAAAAAAGATCGTCCATATTATTATCTTTTGGTAAGAATTCTCGTGAGATTGTTTTTTTTTCCTTCTCAAAGTAAGTGCGCGTTATCCCTGAATATTCAGTATGACAAAGTACTGTGTTTCGTTGCGAAATGCACCATAAATTATACTTTTGCACAAATCTATGTACACCGGCAAAACAAACTCGGGGAAAGGGGGGGGGGGGGGGGGTTAAAAAGAAAAATACTTTTATAAATTGTGTATGGCCCCCACTTTAATTGAGAATGAAGTACATGTAGAGTCAATAGGCAAAAACAAGTTAGTATATGATGTCACATTCGGGATCCACAAAAGTGATCCATCAATGACTTATTATGTAGCTGCGCATTGCAATTGCGCGAGATAGACTAGACGAGGCAAGACTGTCCACAGTTTGTCTGTAGTCTCTAGTCTCCGCCAGTCTGTCACAAGTCAAGATGGCAGTCGGCTTATCCCGTTATACCGCTAGCCCTGCTGTACAGCCGACTTTATGCTCGTCCCCAGGTAGGCGGTATAAAGAGGTTTTACTGTGAATAAACAGAAATTCCGCCAATATCAAAGCAGCTGTCCATCAGTAAATAAAGAGACGCTGAAAAACTAATACACAGTGTTTAGTAGCCGATTCTTTGTTTTAATTGTATGAACTATTTTGCCTAATTTAATCTTAGAAAGCTTCCAATATGGATATTAATGGATCCAGTGCATTTTGCAAAATTTGAATGTATTGGATGTGGTGTATTTGTAAAAGATATCAAATTCAACAACCCAATAACAAAAATGTTGCAAACTAAATTGGGTAGGCCTATAATTAATTTGTTGCCAACCATTACTGTTTACGACTGTCCTGCTAATCATGATCTGCCCCCCCCCCCCCATTTTTCTGTTTTGTTGTAAATGGATAAAGTGCGCCTTGCCATTCAACCCTTCAAATGTCAATAGAACAAGTCTATGATTTTAACCATTCTTATTTAACACAGTACAAAGTTGGGTAGAATCCACAAACTTTCAAATGAGTGAATCCGAGCATTTTAAGCGTATGGCTGGAGGGCGCCACTGGTGGGTCCAGCTTCTTTTCTCTCCCTCTTTTGATATTTGCATATCTGTCTTACTCTTTTTCTTCGCTGAATGACCGTTATTGTTTCGATGTGGTTCTCTTAACTCGACCAATGTGAAAATTTCAGGACTCGATTCGGCGGGTTTGATTTCCGGATTCGAATCGAGATCCCCACAAGAACTTTTTAAGAAACATTCATTTACTGGCGACGCAGTGAGATGTCGATTTCATGTTTATTTGTGTATGTACTTTTCACTGGCTTTCGTTTCGAATCAAATCTTAGTTCGAAGTGATGCCAGTGGTCTGTTTTCGGAAGAAAGCAAGGCGGGTAGTTGGCTGGTGCTCTGGTGTTGTTTGTTCTTTTTTCCTATGAAACTTTTATCTTCCCTAACTGTCCTCCTTTCTTTTTATTTGTATCTTTTGTATGTCACTCTCTAGTAGTAGCACTTCTAATTTTGACACTTATACAATGTGACCCATTGGTGTGTGAGTGTCGTAACATACGTACTAAGACTAAAACGAAAACAACAGCTTTCTGCGAATAAGCGCAAAATGTGTACATTTAATATATGTATTCGTTAAAAAAATGTTAGACTGTTAGCATCCCCTACCCCCCCTAAAAAAATAAAATAAAAAAATCACCCCCCCTGAAAAACCCTCAACCCCCCCCCCCAAAAAAAACACAACAAAAAACAAAACAAAATTTAAAGAAAAAACGACAAAAAAGCCCCCAAAGCAAAACAACAAAACCCCCTAAACTTCACATTTTAGAACGAGGGAAAACAGATCCCAAAAAACTTCAGAAGCAATTTTTCCTTGGCAGGGTTGATTTGTTTTCAGACTCGACCGTTTTGACTGATTTCACGAATTCTCACTTAGCTTAATGAATTTTGTCGAATTCTGACTTCCGAATTTGAGTCTGCCCATATTTAGCTCCCATTATCCCCAGCAGCTTTTGCCTGAGATTGATCTAATTTAATATTTTTTCCTCTTATCCCCAGGTGAGATATGCCAAATCTGGTTGCGCTTCATGGTGGGCGCCCTGTGAAGTTGTTTTGAATACTCATTTCAATCGTTCGGAGAACTAAAGAAGAGGCGAATTGTGAATTTCAAGGGACAGGGGAAAAAAACCAAACGAACTGACCTTTTCTGACTGGTACGAACTTCTGGCATTACCACCTTGAGTGTCCAGGTCAGGGTGTGACTAGATTTCTTCCTTATACACTTATAGGTGAATTATAGGCTGCTCAACCACAGCATATTATTGACAGCTCAGTGGGTATTAATTGTTGGTTCACCAATTTCTGGATCCAGCTGGCTGTGGTTGTCCTCGTGTAGAGAACTGATTTGATGTTCAGCCCCTGAATAGGAGAACAAACTGCTTGAAGAAAGAGTCCCCCCCCCCCCAACTGATTCCACGACAATTGTTGGTGCTGCTGTCTCGACCGTGGCCATGTGGACGGGAGGAGCTTCAATGTGGCGATTTGTGATCGTGGTCTGCGCTGTCTTGGTGGAGCTCACTTCAGGGTAAGCGATAACGTTTACAATTTTGTTTATGTTTTAAAGCCGCTCTTGAACCAAAACGTTTGGGTTTTTTTAAACAGGGCCTACGTTTTGCTCTTTTTTGTGTGAGATCATGCCTTTGGTTGACTGATCGACTCAGTGGACAGATAGTTAGATTAGATGAAGATAGAAAATACTTCGTAGATGGGATACCCGCCTTTCTAACGAACACCCGCTCAATGAAGTGGGATACCTGAGTATGTGCACAATATGTAATATGTTGCATGACGCCACTGGCATTAGGCTTACCTGTTACACTATCATTTTCATCGATACCACTAATAAAATTCAGCACAAACTCCCGTACCCAGTGTGTTGGCGAATGACACTATGAGTTGCGTCACAGGAAAAAAATGGCGCAAATGTTCGCTCCCTTTTATGTCCCTCTAAGCACAGGTCGCCCCTGGCAGACAGGGTCAAAGCCCGCTTCCCGAATGGCACCTACATGAACATTAACCCCCCCCCCCCAACCCCACGTAAATCAAAAACCAAAGCCAAGGACAACTGCTCGGATACCTGTCAGCTGTGCTTCAAGTTTCTGGCATGCTGTCCAGGGCTCTGTTCGTTGACAAGTGTCATCTGTCGAAATCGTTGCAGCACAAGAGACCTGCCCCATAACATTCCAGAGCCCTTCTGTTCGCTTAAAGGCTTAACCTCGGCTTATTAAAGACGGGGGCGGTGAGGGGGGGGGGTGAAGTTTTTATTTTTCTGATTCTAACACAAGTAAATAACTCATCTGTCTGAGCAAAATGTGCGCCCGAACACGTTTTCTTCACCATGCAGGAAGTACCACACACCCATCCACACACACACACACACACACACACACACACACACACACACACACACACACACACACACACAAACACACAAACACACACACCCGCACACGACATACACAAATGCACGCACACAAGCTCACACACGCTCGTGCTCACGCGCACACAAAAACACAAACAAACACAAAGAATTAACATAGATATATATAATAAATAAATATATATATTTATATATATATATTATGTTGTAGTCTGTTACTTTGTAAACCAAATGTTGTTCACATTTTCACTTAATCATAAATGCAGAGTGCACAGGCAAAACTTGAAGTGGAAAATTTTGTCTACGTGGAAGCGTACCTTTTATTTTTCATAGATGTACCTGTCTAACCAGATCGCCGCACTAGTTTAGTCTCGATGACTCGCATCGCTTTCGAACTTGCTCAGGTGGCGCGAAGTTGGCCGTTGATCAAATGGAATTAATGTTGAGTCGACACCCTAGCGCAGTAGGCTCTAATAGAATAAGTCATTTCTTTATTCCAAATATATCCATCAACGCCATGGTTTGAGAAAATTAATTTAAAAAAACGGTGATAGACGTTTTCTTCCCCTCAAGTACGCCCTGGTCATTCGAAGTGTTATTGGCTTTTGCAATCAAATACTGGGCATTTACAGAAAGTAAGTCTCCGTCGTCATGACACTGTTATCATAATAAGAACCTAAATTAGTTCATCTCACTTCTCCCTGAACCAAACAGTTGGATGCACCTTTGTCAAGACCCAGAAATGGCTTTCCACAAATTTACATAAACTTTAAAACATTGTCAATCTCGTACCAATTCTTTGTAAGCCTACCCCACTTTCAAAGCAGCTTTAGTTTAATTTTTATGTCAACAATGTTTTAAAAATGACCCCCCCCCCCTTTTTTTGTGCTGTGCCCTAATATAATTCTTAAATGTTGAGAAAAAGGCTTCGTAAAAAAATGGACAAACCATTTTCTTGAAATTTGATTTTAATGTCGGCATGAAAGTATATTTAGGAAGATGACATAACTCTAATATTATTACTTACAATGACGAGTTTTCTCTTATACCAGCTGGGCCCCCTTTCGATGAAAGGAATGATCGGTGCTTTAACACCAACTGAAAGTCATTGGCCTACTATATTTACACTCTACTGGAGTGGACCAATAAATCTTGAGAAAAAAGTGACACATGTGTTTCCAAGTTGCCAAATAAATAACATTGTATAGATTGATTCTGTATTCCGCTTTCGTGGTTGTACACTCCCTAATTTCAAAGGAGGTGTGGGACCAATACGCACTGCTAGTGAACGGAAACCTCACTTGTTTACAATCAAAGATAGTGCATAACAAGATGGGCCACTCAGCCAAAAAAGTGTCCGCCGGAAGTCCGCTCTTTGTTTCAGATGGCGATGCTGTCTGTTTTGAAGCTCTCTTTCGTTTTTCCAGAAGAAAAATAGGAATAGCACCTCCTTGCGTGCGCAGATCGACGGAGGAGGTTTTTTTGTCAGCGTAACCATTTTAAAAAAAGCGTTGTTCCGAAATTTATCCAAGAACCTGCTAGTTTCACTTTGATTTTTAAAACTCAAGTAGGGTAACTCTGTTCGCAAAGGGTGCGCATTTGCGAAGAGGGCGCCACTGAATTTTGAGAACACTTTTTTAATTGGCTCAGAGAGAGGAGTGTCCCCTCTTGTTATGTAAACTCTTTGTTACAATTGCGTCTTAGAAGACGGACTTTCCCAAGATTAGAAGTCTGGGTGAACGAAACAGAGACTTTTGGAAAAAAATCGGGGACAGCAGTTTGCGTGGATTTTTTAAAGTTAGGTCCTAGCCACATGGATTCTATGGACGCCTGCAAAGTTTCAAAGGAGTGGGTTAGGTAATAAGGGAGGAGTTTGTGCACAAAGCCTCCCAAGTCCGCTTTTATGTATATAGATTATTACGTTAAAAAACACGGCTGAAAGATAGAAAACAAGCTACGGAAAATGCGCACTCAAACAAGAGACCAACTAACACAATAGACAATGCTGTTCAAAATAATTTCAGTGTTAGTTTTCCAGTGTTAGAACTTTTCGTTTTTTTCGCCATATCATATTTCTAAGGAAACGCATTTGTGTAAATTCACCCCCCCCCCCCCCCACTAAGAAACGAATTGAAAAACAATAACAACAACAACAAGAACAACAACAAGAACAACAACAAGAACAACAACAAGAACAGCAGCAGCAGCAGCAGCAGCAGCAGCAGATGCAGCAGCAACGAGACGACGACGAAACAAAAAAACAAAAAAAACCACACACACACACACAAACTCACAATATCAGCAGGTCGTTTCGCAAGATCTCTGCCTATAATGAGACCATCACCGTAGCACTGACATATGTGGCGTATCAATATATGGCTCTTTGCTCCTTCTCAGAAGATGGTGACCGTGACAGGGAGGGTCAAAGCGGCTGACCTCCTAAATATCTAAATTCCGTCGAAGGGGAGGTAGTATAGTTACAATCATTTTGCAATTTAATTCATAATATAGAAACATGTTTTACCAGTATGAAAGCTAACATAAAGGTTGATGATTATACTCGTTTAATGACATTTCCAACAGTGTAAAGCTATTTAAAAGGTGTTAACTCCTAAAACAAAGCTCATATCCGATGGGACCGAGTCAAATGGGCGGGGACAGCTTCAAAAAGCCCTCAAAACAACCCAGGTTCAGAACGCCTGTTTGGGGTTTGACCCAGGGTCATCCACTCCTTAGACCAGCATGATACCGACTGAGCGAAATGAGCATAAGGAAGAGAAAATTGATAGAGACAATTCAATTCTACAAACGTGATTGGATTCATGTAAATATGACCTTAAACAACATATCGCAAACCTCATTAACAAAAATAAAGTTTGTAAGGAATACCTGCCAGACACTTCGACTGGTCTGTATACAACGGGTTCCACTTATTTACGTTGTTGTAATGCAATACACGTATTTGAATTGAGCAAATGAGTGGGAAAGGCTCTATGGAAATCACATATCTTTAAAGGACAAACAATATTATGGTATTATCTCTTTATGTTTCTGTCAAACAGTATATTTATTTTAAAGAGAATATTATGGTGAATACTAAGATGAATGAGCTCTCAAATTTCAAAACTGTGACAGGGTGGGGAACTTTACTGGCTTCAATAGCTGACACATAACAAGACATTTTGCAGAGTAATTTCACCGTCTGTCATAAAAGAGATTGAACCAATAAGTGAGAGCCCAGCATCTTCTTATGTCGTTTAAGGGTTTGGACTTCTGTCTTCAACTTTCATCGCCGATAGACAGTACCATGAAAGCTCTCAGCTAGGGTCTTCCGCATCAAGTCTATCATGATGCTGACCGACCCATTTGAATGCCCCACCCCCTCCCCGTTCCCCCCTAAAAAGTGAATGAATAAATACACTGATTAATTAAATGAAATTTTAAAAAGCAGACTACTATGATTCAGCAGTTTTTATAACCATTACACACGTGTATCTTTATTCAGCTTCAGTGCCGCCATAAAACTATTGTTGTTGCTCATCATTTCGCTTGAAAGGAAAGGATCAATGATATTGTTTTTCATAACAAAAAATATACCGATCGTTCTTTTCGACAGATATTACACTGGAGGCTCTCGCCGCCTTGAGATTCAGATGTTCGCCTCTCATTCAAAGGTGCCGGGGTCGAATCCGGAAAATTTTCCTTCTTTTAAAGTCTCACCTTTCACCTCCTCTCCTTCTCTCTAGCAATGTTCTGTCGTCTGCTTTCGTCTCCACTTTTTGCCCTCACCCCCTCACCTCCTTTTCCCCCTCCTTTGGACTCCTGACTCTTTCTGCAGCCTTTCTACTGCCACTCGCTGGCTCTCTCTTACTGCTGTCTTTCAGCCTCACCCCTGGTCTTCTGGTAGGAAAGATCTACACCTAGCCTCCTCGAACAAGGGCGAAAAATCTCGGAGGTCCCGTTTGCAAGTTGCGCACACTAAAGATCTCTTGGTGGTCTAAAATCGATTAGAGTAGGCTTCGGCCGCCACCCGTGCAAAATTCAAAATATCCTACCAACAGAAAATGTTTAAAGTGTCCCGCGCGCTCATATGATCTTATGAAGTTGCGAGCGCCGTAAAACATTTACAAACAATCCTCCCCCCAAACCCCCCCCCCCCCAAACCCAACAACAAACAACATTAAAACAAACAAATAAAACAAACAAACAACAACTCCAACAACAACAACAACAACACAAACCCATAACACTGCTTCCGTGTCTTCGCTCTCTTTAGCAATTGATGATTAATTTCGTGCAAGCTTTAGAAAACTCACTGACACTCTTCCAATTTGTTGAAGTACAGCAAGTCAGTTTCAAATTTGGACTCATCTTAGGATAGGATATCATCATTACGTCTGACGGGATAGGGTATCATCTTTTAGTCTGACGGGGTATTTGGCTTCATTTTAGCTCTTATTGTATGTCACTGCTGGATGTTTTACCGTCAATTTACCAGAAGAGATTCCCGATGAACCGGAAATTTATAGCAATCATGTCTGCCTGGATATTGCACATTCCAAAGAGTTCTTTCTGATTTCCTTAATCCATGCTTAAAGAATAAGTATTCCATTGCAAATAGCTCCTCACTATACACATAAGAAGAGTCAGTTTTTATACAACGTGCGGCTTTATTCGAGAGTAATTACAACCTTTCGATGATTGGTTCTTTTTTTAGCTACCGATAAAGCCCAGTTCGCCTGTCATTAAAAACTACCTCTCGAAATAAGTACTTCCTTCCCTGAAATGCCAGGTCGTCTCGATGTGAACGTTCTACGCACAATATAAACACTTTTCATAGTACATATTATTTTCATTTACAAACGTAGGCCTACTTCATAAAAAAAGCACTGTTCCTGACTCGCCTGTTTGGTCTTTCTTTTGATTTACAAGTGGTGTGATAATGTCTCGCGTGACGTGTCCTATTTTTACCACCACGTATGGATAAGGTAATAGACGCCGTTGTTAAAGAATTGATGTCCGGAGAATGAATTAATTAAAACTGGAATTTGTTTCCCTTTTCTATACATGTATTCATTTCTTAAGCCTCTGTTACGAGGGCGAGTCCAAAAGCAAAATACACACACGCACATACACACACACACACATACACACACACACACACACACACACACACACACACACTCACACACACACACGTCATATTGCTGTTGTTTGCTGCTTGTATGTAATTCAGCTCACAAGTACTTGCTCTCTTTTGAACCTAAACCGCTAAAATTCAATTTTCGTTGATTTTTGCGTGAATGCCGTCACATCTAAATGGCTGCCTCCTTGGAGGTCCGTCAGAAGTAAAGAACTGTGATTGAATTTCATGTTTTCCTAGGGAAAACCAAAATGTTTGCAAGGATTGAGCTCTAGATTTTGGCACTATATACGAGTAGATGTAGGTGGGTCTGACTTTTGAGCAACGGACTGGAAGAAGAAGAACATGTGTCCACATGCTTATCACACAAGGATTGGGCCGAAATATCAGGCGGGAAATTAAAGCAACCGTGATTTGGAACGTTGATGGCGTGCTTCTCACAAATTTTAAAATTCTTTTTTAAACTTTTACCTGGAAGAGCAATTTTCAATTCTGAAGCCTACTTGGAAACACTGAAACAACTGAAAACAAGAATTCGACGAGTCAGACCAAAGTTTAACTTGGAAAGGGTGCTTTTTCAACGTGATAAATGTCTGCCGGCATACGAGTGCCAGAACAAGGGAGACAATCGCCTCGTTTGGATGGAAAACACTGCCACACCCAGTTTTATCTCCTGAATTGGCAACTTCAGACTTTCACGTTTTCAGTCCTAGGAAAGAATGTCTACACAAGGGAAACGATGAAGATATCAAGACTGCTTGTTTCAAAAAGTGACTCAAAGTCCGGCCTGCTCAGGTCTACGAAGCAGGGATATATGGTCTTACTACTACATACTAAAAGGTGGACAGATGCTATTGAACAACATGGAGACTATGTTGAGAAATAAAAATATGATCCTTAGATACCCACCTCCCCCCTTTCAATTTGAGGTATGAAAGATGTAATTGCTTCTTTTCCATTTAAGTTATAAACGAATTTTCCTTACTTTTTACCCCCCCCCCCTCGCTCCTCAAATTTGCTTGTTAATACACTTAGTCAGGAACTGGAAACTTAAAGACACCTAATGGGATACTCTCTGGGCAAATAGTATCCTCATTATTTGGTCATTGATAGAACGGCGCCCGACGAAACATTTAACGAAATAGAAACAAATCTGTTCCTCGCAACAAGCAAAGTATTATAGCCTGTGTATTATAAAAGATGATCAGATGACACGAATGTTTTATGGTATTAGATCCTACGAAACCGCAGCTCCATCCTTCTCTTAGTACTGTACAAAGAAAAACGGCGGAAAAGAAATTGAATTAGGAATCTGATATGTTCAATATGGAATCCCCATATCAAATGACATTGGTGAACATCGTCAGTACGACCTACTTAAACCACGTATTATCAAGACCATGAGAGAGAGAGAGAGAGAGAGAGAGAGA